ACTATGATATTAGATTTGAACATTGTTGACTGTTTGTGTCATGTACGGTCGGCCAAGAAAGTGGTGTACCACCTGAAGGCTAAATGTCGCTTGCAGTTCACAGGAGAATAAAGAATTGTTTTGCTTGCACCTTGATCTGACAACATTGCTATGTTATGATATTGACGTTTGTCACAATTGTCACCTTATGCATAGATATTAGTCACTAGGTGCTAGAAACTAAAGCAAAACTGGTTTTGTTGAACAAAAACTTGGTTAAAGCCACTAAAGTTGAATGCCACTTGCACATTCATAGGTGATGGTGATAATAATAGATTTTACAACAAGTACACAAAACAAACTATTTTTATCCGAAGCTCGGGCTGATAGTAATGTCGAGGACAAAATGGTTTTGTGGATGAGTTAAAAATTCTGCTTTTTACTTCGTTGGTTGGGAAATAAAACAGTAGTATAACATAACATTTCTTTAATTAAAATTCAAAGTAAAATTACAGTTTTGAATACTGAAGGAAATTGTTTTTATGTCTTAAAAAACACATAAGGCAAATAAATTAAAGTAAATATTATAAAAGAACAAATTCTATCTATGAACTTCTTATTGTGTTTGGCTGTATAGCTCATTTTCTTTGCCTTAATATAGATACCTTTATGGGTAGATACGTTAATGCACTTGTGCACAAAATTCGATTATGTGCAGCGTATATCCTGCACAATTAAGCACTTTCAGAATATGAGAAGAGAAAAAATTTGTTACATTTTTGCAGAACGATCATACTAACTCTATTTTCTATTCCAATTTTATCTGATTAGTTATTGATGGAACCATGCATGACGTCGTGAACCAATAACCTTAGAGCATTTATAGCAGGAGATGCCATAGCGTTCACTCGCCGAACAAAATGTTTCACCATTTTTGGTGCGGGACGAGGTACACTCGTATAGCACACTAATGAAAATTTGCAATACTCCCACAAACACGAGCGTGTTGTTGCTATAAACGCACACTTCAAAAATTACGTCACACAAATAAAAAAACACACACACGCTAACAATTTTTATGTAACTATGCAATTGTTCGAGCGATACGAATGAACGATATTTGAATGAATAGTTCTTGATGAATGAACATAATGTCTGTTTATAATGAAAACAAAATGTTTCATTTATAAATATCTATCTGAAAGCTTATTTATAGTTTTAGTACTTATGATTTTACGCACAAAATTCAATGTTTTTTTTTGCAAATTATATTGCTGTGCAAAAAATCTTTACAAGTGATTTTGCTGCCCTTTATCGGATAACCTGCCTATATTTAATTGCTTTTACACCCTTAATAATAGCAAACACAGTATATTGACACAAAACACTGCGTAACTGATCCAAGCTTATCCATTCTTTGTTTAATATAATGGGGATAGCGAATAAATATACTTCAGTGAATTAAAGTTATTTGTTTTACTGATAATGTTTTCCTCAGTGGTTTAAGAAGTCAATAATTTTATCATGTGTCATTAATTAGAAAAAACCTCAATGATTCAAGCTTTCGGCAAAGATCAATCCCATGCTTTCAACGAGTGCTTCGCTAGCGTATATATATATATATTATCATTTTGTATATATACAGAAATCGCTAAGTCAAGCAAAAACAGCGGCACGGCCGTACCATCCTTTTCTCGAAACAGTTCAGGCCATTTTCAACACCCTATAACTTCGTTGGCGATAAAACTAGAAGCCTGTGTTTTCAGTAACCAAGTAGGCCATGCATAAACTCGATATTTTTCAAATTTCATTGAATTTGAGCCAGTAGTTTAAGAATTATAACTAGTCAAAGTTTCTTAATTTTGTCACTGACTGACCGATCATCAAAACTCTAAGGCACTTCTAGCAGACATAGAAGCTTTAAATTTAGAAAACAGTATGTTAAAGTATAAATTAAGGAAAAACTAATATATTTTGCAATTTCGGCCCAGTTTTCTAGATATACTAACTGCATAAATAACTTTGTAATCTTATATAAATATATAGGATTACAAAGTTACATTTGCAGTTAATTAATCAGTGTATGTGTAATATAAATGTTGTACTAAATTATAATAGAGGGAGTAGATAAGTATCTAGGTATAATAATGGAAAATTGGAATCCCATAATTATATTTGATTTATATTGTAGAATAGAACGCGAATCGAATGGTTTTAGAAAGTTCGAATCAATTTGAATATGTTTTATTTACTTTTACTTTTTACCATAAGACGGAGCGGTATGTAGTTAGTTCACGAAATGACAGTTGCTTTTCGGGCATTTATATAGACGTTGAACGTTGATTAGATAATTGTAAGGTATTGTAATCGTACCAAAAGTTTGGGTCTAAGTCTAAATAATGCGTTGATTGATATCGGTTCTGCAGTATTCATATCTGGTCAAGTTTACGTGGCACTTTCGAGAGTTACAAATCTTGGCGGCTTACATTTAATTAATCTCGGCCTCAATTTGTGAAAATAAATAGACTTAGAAGCAATTATCATCGGGACTTGACAAAACTTTTAACATCAAAGCCTCCGAGAAAAACCCATAGAGATAGAGAGTGGGCTTTGAGGACAGCCGTAGCTGAAGCTCAGAAAGTAGTACCGGAAAAGAAAAAAAGGAACATTACCTACAAAAATAAAAAAAGATCATAATACAGCTCATCAGAAGACTCGTTGGTATTCAAGCAGTAAAAGGTACCTGAAAGAAATAGGTACGACTATCTACAAAAAGAATTGAGGGGCCATCAAAAACATAACTTGTAAAAAAACAAGTCTCGCTACTCAGTTCTACTTCTACTACCATCAAAAGTTGTGAGATCGATGTTATGCCAAGTCGGTTAATTTATTCAGTCCCTACTTAAGGAACCCTTTGTCTTTAGTTATTACGAAATTAGCTCACCTAACAACATCTTATACTGACTATATCAATATTGAATAAGTAAATTGACTTGTCAAGCGCACTCAACAATCTAATTTAATATAATATGGGAGATACATTGTTTTCATGCGATTGACTTGGTTTTTTATACAAGTTATGATTTTAATGGCATACGCATTTAGTACGTACGTACGGAGCTCGACAGCCCAGGTGGTTAGCGAGTTCGGCTTGCGATCGTGGACGTTAAGCAACTTTGGCAATGGTCGGTTATTTGATGGGTGACAAAAACTTATTATCTCGAGCTCCTGTCGAAGCCTGTGCTTTGCCCCTTCAGTGGGGATATTAATAGGCTAATGCGGCGAAGTATCTTACATAATGTCAAGGACCATTGGTAGGGTTTCTAATTATACGACTACCATATGTATATATTAAAACATTTTGCCCTAAAATGTCGAAAATAAAATAGTAAATTTTAATAAGTCAGGAAGCTCATCAGCTAAAAATATAATACTACTAATATAAACTACTACTAACCTAAACAAAATCAAATCCAGTAGCATAGAATTCTGTTTAGTAAGATCAAGGCTATTTCAACAGTCAATATACATTAAATATTCTGGAATAAATCAAATGGTCCCAATAATTGGCCCCGATTCTTAAAGTACCTTTGTTTCTTAATTATGTTTTTATTTAAATAAACTTTTTGATCAGACGGAGTTTTTTTCTTCAAATAAGTTTAATATGAGTATTTATCGAATTTATAGTTTTACATGGAGCTGATTACGAAAACAACATTTTTCTCGAGATCCAAGAATATTATTAATGTTTCAGATTTTGGGACTATGCAGTCCTAATGGCACTGTAGGCACGGAAACTTAAAAGATCGATTTTGTGACTCGCCGACACCTTAAAGTACTTATCTGTATTAACCAGACAGCTTCCATAGAGCTCCAAGTTTCCGCAAATTGAATGTCCTCGAGTTGTATTATATGTCGGCCCAGATGAATAGTAATTAGGTACCACTTTTGTGGATTACAATACGCTACGCTACTACATATAAAAGAAAGTGTGTTTTAAAAACTCTAGTAAAAAAATTAAAATAATATAAGTTATGGCGAAAGCATTATTTGATTTGTCTAAAAAACCTAAAATTCTTTTTAATACAGAACCTTAACAATATAAGTTTTTATCTCCTGGACTATAGAGAAAATCCATGAACAGAAGTTCGTGAGTATATCTTAAACGTAATTTTTTTTAACGACACGATAATAATCACGGTGCAACTAAATTAAATCTAGGGCCTCGTGTGATCATTTTCCTCTTAATTTGACATTTGAAAGATATTAAAAAAGTTTGTTAATTAAAATGTAATAAAAGTCGCTCGATGTGGGCAGCTGACCTCTGACCTGATAACTAATTACTTAATTTGATTTACTTTCTTCTACCTATACGCTATTTACATCAATGGTGTCGATTCCGGCATAATTCTCTAAAGCTTAAATTTTTGACAACAATGTATCCTTGTCTTTCTCTATACAGAATGAAAAGGAGTGACAAATGTTAAATTTACTTTAGAGAATTATGCATGCCAGAATCGACACTTAATTATTGTGTATAATTTTTATGTGGCTATTTACCGGCATCGATATAAAGTACTTTTAAAACATATTATCGTATTTCAACATCGAAAGAAAGATTTTGGTGTAGAATATGGAAGCGTTCTCTAAACTTAAATTTGACAAGTGTATCCTTGTCATTCTCTATACAGAATGAAAAGGAGATACTAATATTAAATTTAGTTTTAAGCTTAGAGAACCAGGCAAGAATCGACACCTTTGTTTGGTTTAGTTATAGATCGTGAATGATTGAATATTTGTTTTTTTATAAGATCTGTCGATGTATATTTGTTTTATCAACATGCTATTTGTATGTGAGTGCAGTGCGATGCGCGCTTGGAAACGGTCGTGCGCCACTGTGCAGTGAGAATTATTATTCACGTGTCACACGGCAACAGCCGTTGTGCGCCGTTGTAGCTCTGAGTACCGAACAACTCATAGTTCACGAGTTGTTGGCGTTTATCCAAAATGCCATCGACACTATGGACGAGGTCAGCATCCTGCAGATCTGCATATCAAACTTCAAGGAAGATGAGGTATGCAGTGGCAAGGTGCTGTTGTTCCGGTCTGTCGGGAAGGCCGACAAGATGGCATCAACACGGAGGGATGGTACTGAGAAGAGTATGCAGGACATCATCACCCTGCTGAAGGAAACCGATCCGGACGATGTGCCTACATTCGTAGCGAAGGAGCTGCACAAGCTGCCCCCCGTCACTTTCAACCACGTCGACGTCGCCAGACTGCAGAAGGACATCAACTTCCTGAAAGCGAGTCTGGCCGATGTAGTGAGCATGTTAGAGGACTCTAACAACACCATAGTTGAGTTGCGTGCTCAGGTAGCGTTATTAAGTAGCGCAGCCGGTGCAAGTAGGTCACCCGAGGCGTCTAAGGTGAACGCACGTCGCGGGGCGCAAAATGCATCTATCGGCAGTATTGAGTCGGTGCCTGTCAGTGCGTCACCGGCCGCCGTCATCGCGCGCGATGCCTCGCTCCCCGCCACTGCTGCCCGCCCCTCTGCCTCGCCGGAGACGTCACGCGCATGCACGTCCACACCGCAACGTGCTTATGCAGTTGCAGCCGCCAGCCGGCATGCCGATGTGTATCCAAAAGAGAAGAATAGCAAACTCTGCGTAAAACGTGCTGCTCCGGCAGTGTCACAAAATCAGATTTGCGTCGAAGAGGGCTTCATCAAGGTGGAAAGGAAGAAGAGGAAGCCCGCTTGCCGCAATTTGTGTGGTGTTGCCCCGACCGGACCGAACCAACTGCTGCGTCCTGCAATACCGACGACGCCGCTGTACGTGTCCCGACTGCACTACTCTACGAAGGAAGAGGAGATCGTAGAGTACCTGCGAGTGAAGACGGAAGTTCTCCCTGAGGGTCGCACGGTTGGAGTCCCGTCACAATGTGAATTTTAATTCATTTGTGGTGAGGGTGCCGACCGAACATCTAGCGACTTTTATGAAAGAAGAACTTTGGCCGAAAGGTGTCGTGTTCCGGCGATTCCGAGGCCGGTTACCTGATACCGCTATGCGCCACACGTCGCCGTCTTTAAGTGTTAGCCAGTGGCCATGATCGTTTTGGCGGAGGGGTATGCCCATCCATGCTCTCTCCAGGTATAAATGCTCTAAGACCAATAACTTATTATCACTCGTAAACTTTCTAAATTGATAAAAAGAAGTATTGAAATCAGTTAAGATTTTCTCAAGTTTTGCAACAATTTGGGGAAAAACTTTTTGTTATTTATATTGTGAGAAAGAAAAGCTAAAAATAGATATATACTTTTATTTGGTGTCTATCAGAATACAGATTTTTTTCATATCGATTTTCATTTTACCGAAAACTATTCCACGAAATATATATTTTTTTCAAATTATCGAATTTTTAATAATCCCTGTTTTACATCATCGAAAAACGTTTCTTAAAAAATCGGTAATAATTAAAATCGGTAATTATTAAAAACGGTATATCGAACTTACGTTTCGTAAAAGTATTAAGTTATCGATAAAACTATTCGTAAAAACATGTCACAATATGTATTGAAACCCATAATACTTTTTAACCTTACAACTTTTTATCGCAGTAACATTTCATCGCATGATGCTTCGCCTGTTGACGATAAATGGTCCTATTACCTAGGCCGGCCAGCCTCAGCCGCGGCGGCGGTCGTCAAAACCACTTGCTCCTCAGCTCGCGGGCCGCCTCGCGGTAAAACTGTACTTCCAGGGACCAGGAAAAGGTTATTAGAAAAGGTCTCTTTTTAAACAAAAATCTGGCGCTTCGCCGGTCGCTGCCGCTGTACGCTCGCTTCGCTCGCTCGGCTCACGCGTTATGGTCACAACACTAACCTAACCTAGTGTGAAGTAACACCACTTGGGCCCTGGAAGTACAGTTTAGCCCGCCTCGCCCCTCCGCGCCTACTCGCTTTTAAATTGCACTCTAGGGGTGGGGCAGATAAGAGTTCGTGGAGTTGGGGTAAACTGAATCATTTTAAATTCCTTTTTTTACTCTAAAAAGACATCATGAAATCAGATTTTCGATGTACATTAATTTTTGAAGTAAAAATATTGATGTTTCCATTATTTTGCAAACTGAAACTTACGATGAAACAAAAATATGGGTAACAAATCTTGGCTGTAACATTATTTCGATAAAATGTATATAACACGAAAAGAAATAACGATGAACTGTGTTTATATGTTCTGCGATTCGTTATATGGGTAATGAAAATCTTTGAAGGGAATTGCGATAAAATGATAGATTATAGACAGTTTTATTAAATTGTCACAATCACTAATAAAATATTTAATATAAAAAAAACAAACTCTTCTTTACTTTAGAAAACTAAAAATACTTGTGGAATTCACCTTCACCCAAAAAACATATGAACAGAAGCTGCTCTCGCCCCAGTCATATGATCAAAATAAGAGGTTGGAATAAAAAAAATAGAAAGGAATGTTACCGCCATTAGCCTCTATGACCTCTAAAAGACGAGTAATCATTGAACCAGCAAGCCATGAGCAAATATCGGCTCCCCGCATTTCTTCCCAAATTAAATTGCAGTGGCTTTCAAGGGCTTGTTTGGTTCTTTCATTTTGATGCGACCATTTTTGGACCATAAGGCCCCAAAGATTTTCTATCCGGTTTAGGTCTGGTAATCTTGAGGGCCACGGTATCATCGTTACGTCAGTGTGAGTGTCAGGTGTCAGGCTCTTACGATCCTCGCATTATGAGTTGAACACTTATCTTCAACAAAATTAAATTGTGACAATATGTTCTCCGGGTAAATATTACCGACTGTCGGTAGCATTACATTTTCAAACACTTCCATATAATTAACAGCCGTCGCTCGACGAGGTATAGAGAATTCTCCTACACCAGCCGCACTGATCCAACCCCAAATGTTTACGGAAATTCGACCTGATTCTCTATTTGGGATAACATGATCATCTCTCTATACCGTGTTGAATTATAACGCCAAAGGTGTAGGCGTCCATGCTGACTTGATTTAAATGTTTTTTCATCACAAAACACTGCAGTAGACCAATCAAATTATAAGTACTCTCTTGCGTAGTTCCGACGAGCAAGTCTGTGATCATCCGTTAAATTAATTTTCTTGGCGTAATGTATGTGGTGCAACCCCATAAAATGTAAATGATTCCTTATTGTTTGTGCACTCACATCAAACATTTCCGCAAAATTATTTGTCGCTGTAAAAACATTGATTTCATATTCCCGTCTCATAAATTCTCTGTCGTTATTGTAGAGAGCAGGCCGGCGACCGCTTCTTCTGTGATCTAACAAACTATCTGCCTCCTACACGACGAATCCAAAACCGTAGAAAATATAATTTTTTTATACTTACAAATACTAAAATATTATAACTTAAGCTTAAAAAAAATACTACTATTAAAAAAACTTTATTACTTACCGATGAAATGAAATTACTCGATATCGCTGTAATATTGAATTCCTCATTAAATTGGGCAATTATTTGTGCCCTTTCAGCAATGATCAAGTTGGCAGGCATTGACGAAGATAATTATGTATTAAGCAGTTAAATAAAAACTAACACGAAAAACATATCGTTTTTCTGACGAAAATAACAGAAATTACTAAAATGTATTTGACAAAACGTCAAATGTCAGATTTCTTTATAAAAAGAATTTGGTTGATTATTTAAAAAGTTTGTATTATTTTTGATAAGAAACATTGAAATTTTCTTTGTATTAATTAATGTCTTATTCCTTATATAATAAAGGTTAAATGCACTTTGATGTGTGACCTATGACGTGTAAATATTTACCAATTAGGTTTACGTCATTACTATACATCTCTTTCAGCTAAGTTTAATATGAAACTTGTTGTAATTTTCGATGACTAACAAACTGAATCAAAATTGGTCACCACTTTCTTGACCGACCGTACCTAAACCAATAATATTATCAGAAAGTAAATAAATGTTCAGTCCACAAAGGATCGACATAGTAAGTACAGCTTCATTATACCATCACAAAGTGTATGAGATTTCTATTTACCTCGTATCTTTACATACCTTTGGCTACCCTGCATGGTGTCGCCGCGCCCGCTACAACACAGGCTGTCGGATTGCACCTTAAACCATTCAATAGATTTTAAAGTAGATTCACTACCAGTTAGGTAATCTTCATAAAAAAAAAATAGACTTATAACACAAGCCAAAGCATAAAATCTAAACCATTGTAGCAAAGTTATAAGAATTTTGTAATAAATTATTTATAATGTCGGAAGTTCCGGCGTGCTCTTATGTAATTTTGCCAGACTATTTAGTATATTTACAAAATGCTAGTTGTCATTCATTCTATAGTCGGTCTTTTTTTCTTATGATGAATGAATAGATGACGAAGTATATATTACTGAAGTACATATTAAACAAGATTCCTTAAATCATGCATGTTGATATGTTATGTCAAATTATTAAATTCCAGGTATATTATACAGCGCTCAAGACCTGCTGTTGTACTATCCTAATGACCCACCAGATTCAAGAGTATTTGTTTTACAACCTAGTAACTACAAACTTCCATATGAAAGCATCAAGATAAGTAACAAAGATGGGTTTAAAATACACTTGTTCCTTATTAAACAACCTACAAATTGTAATCATAGACCCACTTTGATATTCTTCCATGGCAATGCAGGAAATATGGGCCAGAGGTTAGTAATATGTATTTATTTTCATTTTTATAATGTGCATTGGTTGATAAAAATAGGTTTTGTTATTTTAAATTAATATATTATTTTAGGCTTGCAAATGTGTCTGGTTTTTATCATAAACTAAACATCAATATTCTAATGGTGGAATATCGAGGATATGGACTGTCAGAGGGTGCTCCATCTGAGAGAGGCTTGTATGTTGACGCACAGTCTGCATTGGATTACATCATGCAACGGTCTGACATAGACCGCTCTAAGATAATTATATTTGGGCGCTCTTTAGGTTTGTATACTGTATTTTTATTTCTTACAATGATTTACGTTATTTAATGTAGTACACCATTAAAATATTAAGATATACTTAGGTAAAATGTAGATACCTTTAATTTATTAACTTAAATAAATTCTATTCCTTTTATGCAGGTGGAGCAGTTGCTATTGACCTAACATCAAGGCTGGAATACAGAAACAAAATATGGGCTTTAATTGTAGAAAACACTTTTACCAGTATACCTGATATGGCACAGATCATACTTAAGTGGAAGTGCTTGTCATGGCTTCCACAATTTTGTCATAAAAATAAGGTAACTCAGGCTTTAAAGGGTTGCCACCTTTTTTTTGTCTAATTATTTGATATTAAAGGTAGAAAAAAAAAATACATGGTATCCAAAATAAAGTATTCCACTTTATCAGTTAAAGCCTAAAAATATGTTTAACGTTGTTTATAGCAATTTTTAATTAAAACATGTGGCTACTAAAAATCTGTTGTTCCTATCCGCAATGGGAAAGGTCATGGTACAAAGCTATACAGCCACGACAATGTTGCAAGAATGAGCTAAGGGCGATATATTATACATACTGTCGTTCCGTTTTACGCAAACATTCTTCCTATCAACCTCTTTTTGTACATTTTATGTAAAATTAATCCCCGAGTAATCAAAGCACATTAAATAAAGTATTTTGGCGTACTTTATTGTTGGCATAAAGTATAGAGTACAATTATCCGAAATAACGTACAATACTTTATAATAGGTAAAGTAAGGGTGGCAACCCTAATCCTTAATCTTAAAACTAAATTTAACATCAGTCTCTCGTTTTCATGCTGTCTAAAGAATAGCCACAATCTACACTAATGTAGTAAACACAGATCTTGATCATTTAGTAATTGTACGGGTTGTTCAACAAGAACTTTGTTTTTCAATTGTGGCTTCACCAACAATATGATAGTTTTGAAATTTAGTTTTTTGACGTATTCGTAGTAGATGCATTGGCAATTGTTACAATAAATTCAATTTCGCTTGAAAATAGAATTAAAATAATTTAAATCCACTATGAAAATAGTCGTTCTGTTTCAGCTACATTTTGTCAATTTCGTGATATTTTCGGACAACATAATTGTCCTTCTGAGACCGCTATTAAGAATTTGGTCGTTAAATTTTAATCGACAGGCTCGATACAAAATGTGCCAACACCAACGAGTGTTCGACCGCTTCGTTCAACTGAAAGCATCGCAGCCGTGAGCCACAGTGTTGAAGCAGATCCAAATTTGTCAATTCCGTGACGTTCTCAACAATTGGGGTTATCCAAAACCACCACATGGCGAATTTTGGCCTATTATTGATGACGTGGATATCACTGATATGAGGTTTCAACAGGACGGCGGCGCCACATGTCACACAGCCAATGAAACGATCAATTTATTGCAAACCAAATTTCCCGATCGCATAATTTCACTCAACTCAGCTGTAAGTGGCTAGCCAGATCATGTGATTTAACACCACTACATTATTTTTTGTAGGGTTATGTTAAGGACAGTGTCTATACGGGGCTAATCGAATAGATTGCAGCTCTTAAACTCAAAATCCGTAATGTGATTAACGTAATAGTCCCGCCATTTTGCCAAACAGTGATTAAAAACTTTGATGAAAGAATCGACATCTGTGAACGTGCTCGTGGTGGACTTTACCAGATATCATTTTTCATTCATAATTGCCGAACTTTTCTCTTTGTAATTCAATAAAAAATTTAATCATCTTTATCTAAATTCTTTGTTTTATTTTGATTTAGAAAACAAAGTTCTTGTTGAAAAACCCTATCTTTCATATCATAGACTGTAACCCTTAAAATTTTACCTGTATTATAAAGTTAAATTAAAAGTTAAATTAAATAAAAAGAGCAGAAAAAAAAATATTATCAACAAGGCCGTATGGTCTTTGTTGCCTTTGCCTACCCAAAAGGGGAAAATATAAAAACAATATTTGTCGGACGGAGCAGCGGCGCACGAGCGGCGTAACCGCGAGTCGGCATTAATTTTTACTAATAAGATTTTACGTTTTTAATCGATCAACGCGAGATCAACGAAATTCTCTTACTTTGTAAATTTCCTATTTAATGATAGAACCGTTCTTAGTTCTCATCAAATTTGTCAATGTAACTACCCACTTACTCGTACCTTTTTGGCGAACGGTCGATATTACTTTCATATTTAAATAAGTGATTTATCCTGATATTTAGATATAATACGGGCCCGTGTGAATTGTTTCCCGAGTTCCCTGCACGCCTCCAGTTTATCTTTTAACTCCTAAAACGGAGTTTTTTATTTTGGGTGCGAATCAACTTTTTCGAGCGAGCATCGAGTCCCGGACGGATCTAGTGGCAAGTGCTCTCTCAGGATCGTACCTTCCCATTATTTATTTATTTTTTTGGAGTCACCGAAACTTAGTTATATTTTGGATGACAAATAATCTTTTCGAGCGAGAATCGTGTCCCGGACAGATTCAGTGGCGAGTGTTCCCTCAGGACGTTAATTACCTATTATTTCATGGATTCCAACGTAGCTAACTTAACTTATGTATAAATAAATTTAAGCCCAGCCTTGTTAACATTTACTCGTGATTGGACTACTTAAGTTTCTACACACATCACTCAAACCCAGACCAGAAATCGTCACGAACCCTCTCTTCTTTTATTTGTACCTGTAAGGGGAGAATAAATTTAGTAACCTAATTCGTTTTGAAAAAATTACATTTTGATTTAAGTTGTTATATTATGTTTTAAAATTTTGATATTAAAATATTTTGATTTAAGTTAACTAAAGTCATCGATGAAAAACGTAAAAACACAATCTGAAAAGTGGTTTTCTTTAACCCCAGATTCTCAAGGTTACATTTTGGCGCCAGGAACGTGGGGCGTGACGATTTCAGACTCTTTTGACAGTCTTATGCTTGTCAGGAGTGTGGTCTGTGCTTGTCGTGTTGTGTTGGTTTTTTATATATAAGATATTTTATATATTCTTTATTTATTAAGTGAATATTGTCACATTTACGGACGTTTTCTGGTCAACTTACACTTTTCACTACCATTTAACTTGATACACACAATATGGAGGAAAGGCTGATTTGTTTTAATTTACTACACAAAGATGAATTGTATTATGAGATATCTGTTCGCGGTGAAAATCCGGCGTCTACTGTAGAAGGAATGCGTTCACAAATTCGTGCTTTGTCTAAAGAAATTCCTACAGACGAAATTTCTGATTTTGAAGGTGATGTAACACAGGAATTAACCACCATATCTGTTACACTCAAGGAATTGCAGTCTTTGGTTGATGGTAAACGTTTGCAATTGAAATCATTAAACAGGATTCATTCTTTGGGAAACCACATTTACCATCGCCTCGGTCGTGTTAATCCACTTACAGAGGATGATCAATCTTTACAAGAGTCTTTAGTGAATAATTTAAATGATATTACAATTAAAATGGATCGTTTATTTCATTTATTTAGAAGTAGTCAGGAAGCCCATGAACCGCCAAACCTAAACAACCAAGAACCTATTAATAATTCTTCTTCAAATTCCAATAGTCTTCCCTTGCAAGTTAACGTGTCATGTGATAAGAGTGGAGGGTCCGTTTATTCTCTCAACCTCAGGTACAACGGAAAAACATGTATAGTAGCATTTTTGGAAAGATTAAGTGAATTATGTCGTGCCCGTGGTATATTAGAGGAAACATTATTTAACTCTGCTTATGACCTTTTTACTGACGAAGCTTCATCCTGCTATAGTGGCATAGCCTCTGATGTTAGTAATTGGATTGAATTAAGAGATTTGTTGCTAGCAGATTTCCTACCTCCAGATTTTGACCGTAGACTTAAGAAGGAAATAGTAGAAAGAACGCAAGCTGCCAATGAGGGTATAGTGCTTTATCTCAGCGTTATGCAAAATTATTTTAGACGTCTACGAAAACCTCTCTCGGAGTCTGAAAAATTAGAAATTATTAAATTTAATATTCGGCCATTTTACACCGAACGTCTTGAACTGGACGAAATTGACACTTGGTCGAAATTAAAGGACCGTTGTATTAAACTTGAACATAAGCGTTTAATAGCAGAAAGATTTATTGAACCCCCTCCTGCTTCGGATAAGTTAGTAGCCCCGGATTTAGCGAGTAAGACTCCAACGCGTTCGCGAAAGGAAGTTTTATCTACTATACCTATTAAAAAATTCTGTGTACGCTGCCGCCTTGACGATCGTTCTCTTACTGAATGTACAGCGCCTCCAGGTTTAGTATGTTTCGGTTGTGGTGAGAGAGGTAAGACTACAAAAACATGTCCTAAATGTTCTCGAAAGACCATACACCCTAAACCAGTTTCAAAAAACGAATAAAGGAGGGCTTTCATCCAAATTTTGATGCAGGTGATTGGAGAGAATGGTGTAATACCATTAGACTATTTTTTAAAACCTATAAAACTCCTGTTTCGACAGTCCTTTAGTGCGAACCAAAGATGCGAGGCCTTACCTCCAAATTAAAATTTACGATTTAACTTTTACAGGACTTTTAGACTCTGGTTCTGCAACTTCGATTATTGGTGGTAGTAATATTGATGATTTACGAGAGTTTGCTGCATTACAGCCATCCCGTGATCTGGATTGTATAGTTACTGCTAACGAGTCTTCTTCCACCGTTGCAGGCTGTATATTTTTACCCGTTACCATTAAAGATACAGTGCGAGTCATAAAATTTTATTATGTTCCGGATGTCCCAAATAAATTTATATTTGGAATTAATTTTTGGAAAGCGTTTAACATTGCCCCTGATGTCTTGGCCTTACTTAGGAAAGAAAGTCTTGTTTCGTTTTGTGCCGCTAGAGAGGAGAGCCGACCCGAGTCTGTTACACCTACTGTTAATTCTTTACATCCATTTGAGTCTTTAAATGAAAGTGAGAAGGTCGAAGCAAATAAAATGTATCAACTCTTTGAAAAAATTTCTTCGAAGAATAAAGGGTTAGGACGAACACATCTTGTTACTCATCGCATAGATACCGGAGATGCAGAACCAATTAAACAGCGATATTATATGATGTCACCAGAGAAGCTTGCCGAGTTAAACCGTCAATTGGACGAGATGTTAGACATGGATGTAGTCGAGAAGAGTAATAGCCCCTGGAATAATCCTATTACCCCAAAAGCGGACGGGCAATTGCGATTTTGTTTAGATAGTAGGAAATTGAATGCTGTGTATAAACATGACGCATATCCGCTTCCTTATATCAATTATATCCTTGATAACCTACGGGATTCTCGC